TGGGCGCACCCCAAGACTCCACCAGCATAAAACCCTCAGCTCCCCCGGGGCTGGAGCCACCCTGGCGGGTGCTGTCGCACCGTAGACGCCCTTGTCAAGGAGGAGGAGGAACTCATCGACAGCCATCTGCATCTCAGCCTTGCGCAGGTCCAGCAGGGACACCACCTTGAAGTTGAGCTGGCACAGGAGGGCACCGAGGGCGTGAACATCCACGATGGGCGCCTGCAGCTGCTTGTGGTGCAGGTAGTGCATGTTGCCAATCAGCAGCGCCACTTTGTCTGTGGCTGCAAGGACAGGAGAGGGAGGTGTTGTTACAGAGTGGGACACACCTGCCCTCCATGCTGCCCACAGAGGTGACACCCAGCTCTGGCCAGCATCACAGTCCCTGGGTACCAAGGTACCCTATGGCATCCCTGGCTCACTGATCCCTGAACCCTCAGTTTATGGGTAAGGGCTAGGGTTGGGGATTTGGGTTGAGGGTTAAGGTGCTGATCTGCTCTCCTAATTCGAGTTGGGGCTGGGCTGCTGTTTCACTCTTCCAGTATGCTGCATCCAAAGCATTCCTGGCCTAGTAAAGCCTTATGAGGTGACAGTGATGACATTGGCTACAGTCAGAGTCCCCCAGGGCCACCAGCCCCTCCTGGGCAGGCTCTTACCATACAGCTGTCCAGGGCTGCCATGCTCTAGGGAGCCTGGGAAGAGAGAAATGCCGTGCCATGGTCCTTCAGTGCCAGGGGAGCGTGGCAGGCAGAGCAGCACAGACCTGTCTGCTCTGCTCCCACCTACCTCCATCCCCCTCCTGCCAGGAGCCTCCAGAGGTGAAGAGCCGTGGGCCTGTGGCAGAGGGGATGTCAGGAACCCTGTGCATGACATCACCTCCCAGCATGGGCTGCAGTCCCCCCAAAAACTGTGCAGCCATGAGGGCTTTGCTGGGAACAGAGCAGGTGGGGGATCACAGAGGTTTTTCTGGGGCCCTCACCAATCTCCACGTCCACCTCCTGGCTCCACACCTCGTGGAAGAGGTTGAACACGTGGCAGGAGTAGCTGCCCCGCTCGGCCGTTGTCACCAGCTTCACCTGCCAGCAGGGCAGAGCGGGAGGCTGGGGCAGTGTGCCAGACCACGCTGCACTGTGCCACACTGTGCCATGCTGTACCATGCCATGCCGTGCCAGAGGTCCCTCCATACCTGGAGCAGGGGTGCCTGTGCCCCTTCCACGGGGCGCCGGTTCCTGAACCACTGGTACTGGGGCGGGGGGTTGCCGATGGCTCTGCACTCCAGGGCCAGCGTGTCCCCCTCGGCCAGGCGGCACGGCCGCGGCTGCCGCAGGATCTGCAGCCCTGCCATGCTCGGGCAGTAGCCACTGCCTGGGCAAGGGAAGGGGGGGAAATCAGGCACCCAGCCATGGAAGCACTCAGCAGCACTGCTCCAGGCCTCAGGTTCTGCAGCCACAGGCCCTGGCACCCATGGATGGCGTGAGGCAGCAGGCATGAGGAGGGCATGTGACTCCTCTGTGGGCACCGTCACCCCAGCAAGCCCAGAGACCTTCACAGCTGAGCCAGGGCCTTACATGGCAAATGATACCCCATCCCTGTCCTGATGGGGCAAGAGGTGCCCTGCAGGAGATGTCCCAATCAGGCAAGTGGTGTCCCATCGCTGACAGCCCAGGGACAGAGATCAAGACCCACCTGAGCTGGGGCTGCTGCTCTTCTCCACCTGCACGTGAGCCCACCTGGAGAAGGTGAATGTGGCCCCACAGTTCACCCGGCAGATGTACCACTGGCCCGCAGGAGTGGCTGTGTCAATCACCAGCTCTGGGGATGTGGCTCCAGGCACCTACAGGACAGGAGGAGGCCAAGGAGTAAAGTGCTCCCTCACCCGTGCGGGTCCCTCACCACAGCCAGGGTGTGGGGCCCTGCTCACCTCCTGCCTCCCACAGAACCACTGGTACATGAGCCCTGGCGGGCCAGTTGCACAGCAGGTCAGGGACACCTGTGTCCCCTCCGCCACCACCTGCGACTCTGGCTGCACCGTGATGCGAATGCCATCCTGGACTGTGGGAGAGGAGAGACCGGCCTGGGCTGGCTGAGTGCCCTGTCCTGCATCACCCCATACCATCCAGTCCCATCCTATCTTGCCCCACTCCCATCCACCACAGATTCTCCTCTCCCAGCCCAGCCCATCCTATCACATCGCACACCTCTGTCCTGTCCCAGCCATCTCATCCCACCTTGTACCATTGGCATATTCAGTGCTATCCCATCTGCACATCTCATCTTGTTTCAGCCTATCCCATCCCACTCTGCTCTATCCTACCCTGCCGTATCCCATCCTATCCCATGCTGTCCAAATATGTCCTGTCCCATCCAATCAGACCACATCCCATCCTATCTCATCCTGTTGCACCTATCCCACCCCACCCTGCCTGCCCAGCACCTCACAACCAGAGCAAGACCCCCAACAGGAATTGCTGTTCTTCACCCCCATGCCCATTTCCTCTTGCTGAGCCCCTGCCCCCGGTGCTCCCGCGCACCCCCGGTCCCTCTGTCCGTCCGTACCGGCGGAGCTGAGCACCCGGCAGGCCTGTTCGTGCCCCATGCGCTCCAGGCAGCCCAGCAGGTAGCGCAGGGTGCAGTCGCGCTCGGCCAGGAGCTGCAGCAGGCACTGCGTGGGGCTGCCGCGGGGCTCCAGCACCTTCAGCGAGCACATCTCCAGCTCCTCCACGCTGCGAGCGCCCGCAGCCGTCAGAGCCCCAGCCCCAGCCCTGGCCATAGCCCTGGCCACAGCCCCAACCCCAAACACAGCCCCGGCCCCAGTCCCAAGCACAGCCCCGGGCCCAGCCCCAGCCACGGCCCCAGCCCCAGTCCCGGCCCCGGCCCCGGCCCCGGCCCAGCCTTCTCCCTCGGGGCGGATGGAGCCCAGCCCGGGGGGAACCGACCCGTGCGCCCCCGCTGAGCCCCGGCAGAGCTGTGCCCACGGTGACCCGGTCGGAGACAGCCTCCGGCACGGCTCCCCCAGCCCTACCTGCACCTGAAGCGTTTCTCGGCCCCAGCCAGCTCGGCCAGCTTGCGCCAGCCCCGGCCGGCGTTATCCAGCAGCTCACATAGCCGGGCCACCACGTCCTCGCCCAGCGAGCCGATGGGCATGCTCCAGTCCCCCATCGCTCCTGGGGACGCCGAGGGACCAGCTGTCAGTGGGTGGGTGACGGGGTGCCAGGTCCCCGTGCCCCACGGGAGCCTTCTGGGCACAGGGTGACTCAGGGGAGAGCAATGAGATCCCTGGTGCCAGGAGCCTGAGGAGGTGCTGGGACCTGGCAGCGCTGCTGGATCTGGCCGCCGGCAGGCAGTCAGGAGTGACACATTGCCACTCTGCCAGCTGGGCGGCACAGGGGACGCCACTCACCCCCCTAGCCTTGGGCAGGGAGCCAGGGCACTTTAGCCTGGCCCCAGGAAAGGGACCTTCATGGAATGGGGTCCACAGAACTAGAAGGAGGGGATAGCCCCCATCACCTTCCCCATCCTTTCAGGTGACACAGAGGATGGGGCCCCAGTACCCCTCTTCTTCTGGCAGAGGCCCCAGTGGGGCAGCAGCAGCCCCCCCTTGCTGTCACCAGGCCTCTGCATGGTGTCACCAGGCCTCTGCATGGTGGCCCTGGAGCCACCAGCAGGGGCCTAAGAGGGGTCAACATAAGGTACATGGGGGTCTTAGGACTGGGACCCAGCTCAGCTTGCCCTGAATTCTGGGAAAGGTTTGTGTGACACGAACCATCTGGACAGGGCAGTTCCCTCCCCCTCCCCTCAGGTCCCTTCCCAAGAACCCACCCCAGAAGGACCCTTGTCCCCAGGACTGTGGTGCCCAGAGCAGCTGGGTGACACTCACCCCAAGCAGGGGGCTCCAAGGCAGTGGACAGGGACCCAGGTGCTCCGTCTGCTCACCTGCTGCTGGATTTGGGATCTGGACACACTGGGGGTGGTGAGGGAAGGGTGGGCTGCAGGCCTGGCAGGGATGGGTACTCACCACAGGGTATGGCTGAGCCCCATCAGCTCCCAGGCTGTGCACTGACCCCACACAGAGGTTCAGCCCAAAATCTCCCCCAAAATCGCCCCCGCGCTGCAGCACAGCACTTCTGCTTCCTTCCCTCTTCCTTCCTGTTGTGCAGCACGTGGGCGCAGAGCTGCCACCCCCCGCCCACAGCCCCGGGGGAGCTGGCACGGCCCCGTCACAGGGCACAGCCTGTCATAGGGCACAGCCTGTCACACAGCCTGTCATAGGGCACAGCCTGTCACAGGGCACCTGGGCCACCGCCAGGCCAGGTAGAGGCTGCACTGTCCCTTCCTCACTGCAGGAACCCACAGGCACCCCTTTTCCCCAGAGCCAAACTCGAGCCCAGAAGGAGCTGCAGGGCAGAGTCCAAGGTGGAGATGAGCTGGGGTGACTGTGGCACCTCTCAGCCAGGTGTGCCCAACACACAGACAGAACCGAGGCCAGGGGATGGGCTTTGCCAGGCTGAAGCTGCCCAAAGAGAAGCAGAGTTAGAGCAGTGAGGCCCCCGTTGTGTGGGGAAGACCCTGCCTTCACTGTCCAGCCCAGCCAAGCCCTGCATCCCAGCACCACTGCTCCTGCTGCTGGAGGAGGAAAGGAGAGGATGGTGTGGGGGTGGCACTACAACAGGCCACCATGTCCCCTCCCTCACCCTGCCTGCTGTCCCACAGCACTGCCAAAGCCAGGCCCCTCCTGCCAGCCCCAGGGAGCACAGGCTGCTCAGGCCCCGAGATCCCCTGGCCAGGGACGCAGTGACACGGGTGGGTCATTCCTCACCCCACATCCCCACGGAGCCCTCAGCCCCAGCATCGTGGCACAGCAACAGGACCCGTGTGCAGTGTGGGCTCTCTCTGTGACCCAAAACTCGAGCTTCTGTATGAACAAACACACTGAGACCTCGTGGCCTGTGCTGCCTTAGCCCTTGGCATGAGCTTGCAAAGGGTCTGGGGTTGTCACAGCCTTTGTAACACATAACAGCCTCACCAGAGATTTATTTTTTATTTACAGCAAGGAAAAGAGACCAAAAGCCAGGGCAGATCCCAGTGCCACTTGTGCTGGCACACAGGGAAGCCCCCAGCTCAGCAGCACCTACAGCTTCTTGCCCTTCTTCAACTTGTTGCGCTGCCATGTGTTGTACTTCCGCAGGCGCCTCCAGTACTCGAGTGAGTCGGGGTCCAGCTCCTCCAGCTTCTTGGGGGGCCCGAGGTGGATCTTAAAGAGCCTGGGGGTGAATGCAGAGGATGTAAGGCTGTGGGAAGGACGACAAAGGGACAAGCACAGGACGGAGCAATGGACATGAGTGACCAGGATGTGCAGATCCCACATCCACAGTGCACCCACTCCTGTCTCCTGACCCTGGGAAAGGCTTCTGGGTTGCAGAGGGGCAGTCTGCCTCCTCGCAGAACACTTCTCTGTCCCTCTTACACAGCTCTGTGCCCCTGGGATGGAACCTCTGGGACACAGAGGGGAGTGGGGCAGCACGCACCAGTCGGGGTACTCGGACTCGGGCTTCAGGGCCACCTCCGGACCCTCCTTGAAGTAGTTGACCCCCATGGCATGGGTGGCGAGCATGGTGGGGTCGGTGCACACCTCCGGCCCCTTCAACGCCTCCTTTGGCACACCCTTGCCTTTGGACTTGGCGGCTGTGGGGAAAAGGGCAGGGTGAGGTAGGGTAAGGGCAGGGTGAGGGCAGGG